GGCTGCTTCCTTCCGCAGGACTGGCCGTTTGACGACGGGGCGCCTCCGCCCGGCAGAGTGGTGGAGGACTGGCTGAGCCTGCTGAAGACCAAATTCTGTGACGACCCCGGCAGCTGCGTGGCTGTGCACTGCGTGGCCGGCCTGGGACGGTGAGCTGGCGGGGTGGGGCAGCCGGCTTGAACCTGGGGACCCTGTGGCCTGGCTCCCTCTCGGATGTGGGTGCTGACCTCCTTTCTTGGAAGTTCCCAGACCTGGGCGGGGAGGAAGTCCTTCCCAGAGTCTGACCCTGCTCCCTCCTGCTGTGGTTGGCACTGTGCACTTGCGCAGGAAGGAGCTGCCAGCCCCGCCCCTCTCCAGGCACAAAGGCCCGGCACCCAGCAGATAGCCTGGGTTTCACTGACGGACCCAGGCGGTGGAATCCCCGTTTGCAGAGGGACTGGCTGAGTGGGGTTGATAGCCAAGAGTCAATCTCTTATCCACAGCCAGACCTAAGCCCAGCGCTTTACTCTCCCTCCTTCAACCTTCCCGCCAACATATTTACACACAAGGAGTCTGAGGCACAGAGAGGTTGCCTGGCTCACCTGAGGTCACACAGCAGGGTCGGGAGGAGCCTGTGCCCTCCACAGGGCAGGGCAGAGCACTGGGGGAGTCTGAGCAGCCCTCAGGCCCCAAGGGGGAAGGCATTGCTCTGTGTCTTCAGTAGGCGGCCTGTCAGGGGAGGGCTTGGGAGTAGAGGCTCGGATGTGATTTCGTTCTGCCGTCCGCTCTAGGGCTCCGGTCCTCGTGGCTCTGGCCCTCATCGAGAGTGGGATGAAGTACGAGGACGCCATCCAGTTCATCCGACAGTGAGTGGCCGGTGGGGGAGGGCGGTGGTGAGCGCTCAGGGGTCCGGGTTGAGGGGGCCCTTATCCTGTGCTCCCCGCCCCGCAGGGCCCAGTGCCCTGCCAGTGGGCACTCCTGACCCCTGGCCCCGGGGTGTCCTCTGAGGCATCCCCCGGTCCAGTGCAGCCTCCTTTTGTGGTACCAACGTACCGCTCAGGCCGCCTGGCCCTGACTGAGGACTGGTGTCTGAGTGTGGCCTTCTCCCCTGGCTGGGAGGTATGAGTGAGGAGAGGCTCCAGTGAGGGCCTGGCTGGTCCCACCTCCGTGGCCTGCGGCTCCCTCAGCCTGGGGCGCGGGGCAGTCCAGACAGGCTGGGCTGCGCTGAGTAACGAGCAGGCCCGCGTAGGGAGTTGCGGCAAACAGCTCTTTAAGCCTCCAGCACTCCTGATGAGGGGTGTCATTCTCCTTACCTGGGAGAGGAAGGACCCCTCTCCCAGGCTGGAAGCCATCCAGCCCAGCCCCTCTGTGAAAGGAACCTCCTGTGGCACCTGCCCACCTTCCCCAACACCCCAGGGACAACTGACGCACGGCGGTCTTTCAGAGCTGCCCTTCCGAAGCCCTGGCCCCTGGGGCCTCTGCCCCAGCTTCTCAGCCCCCACGGGGGTCTCCCCCCTCCCCCTCCTCGGGTGGGGGGCTCCTGTCTCTACCACTGCTCCCGGGAAAAGAGCCCTGGTGGTGCAGGGTCTTGGGGTGTCAGCAGGGACAGTGGGGCGGATGGCAGAGGACCTGGGCCTGCACTGGGCCTGCCCCCGCCCCCAGCCCAGCCGCCGTGTGCGTGCGTGTGTGCATGCGTGTGTGTGTGTGAGAGACACGCACGCTCTGTGCCTGTGTGTGTTCTTGTGCTGCTCCCCCAGTGGCGGCTCCCAGGGCACAGCCACCTTTCTCCCAGAGGCAGGCTTGTTTACCAGCCAGACAGCCAGGCCTGCGTGCACCCGTGGGAGCTCAGGCCTCCTCGGGAGCCCGGCACTCCTTCACACACGCGCGCACACACAGGCACACGCTGTTTCTCTCCGTGAGCCTGTGTGCAGCTCTGCAGATCCAAGGGGCACCAGGGCGAGGGCCGGGCCTTCACCGGAGCCCTTCCTGCACCCACCTCGTTGGTGGTTCCCCAGCTTGAGGCCCGAGGCCCGTGACTGGGGTCTGGGCCCAGCCCGGTGACTCAGAAGCACAGGCTTGCACCTCCCCCGCTCACGTTTCCTTGGCCAGAGCAAGTCTGTGGCCACGTCTGAGGTCACGGGCGGGTGGGGACAGATGGCCTCCAGAAGCGTCCGGTGGGCAGCCCTAGGTGCCCTCACACCTGGGCACCTGAGGTCCACCTCCCCCCTCCTGTACTCCCCCCTCCCCCCGCCGGCCAGCCGGGATGCTCAGGCTCCACCCCTGCGGCCTCTGGGGTCCCAGGGCCTGGGGGTGAGGTGGTACCCAGGTAGACACGGGGACCTCGTGGGTGGGGTCAGGGAGCCAGCCTGGAGGAGGTGATAGCCAGGTGAGTCGAAGGCCCGCAGCGGTGACTGCAGGTGATGGGGGAAGGGTGATTCTGGCCGCAGGAGCAGCCCGGGGAAAGGCCTAGAGGCGGGACGGGCTCTGCTGGCTACGAGGACCCGCTCCAGCCCCACTGGACTCTGGTGCCTCGAGGCCCTGGGGCAGGGCAGGTGGCCGAGCCCGGGTCCCGCCTGATCCCCCCTGTTCCGTCTGCCCAGGAAGCGGCGTGGAGCGATCAACAGCAAACAGCTCACCTACCTGGAAAAATACCGGCCCAAGCAGAGACTGCGGTTCAAGGACCCGCACGCGCACAAGACCAAGTGCTGTGTCATGTAGCTCAGGACCCTGGCGCCCTGGCCTCGGGCTCAGCGGGGCTCCGTCTCCCTCCTCTCCAGATGCCTCGCACACCCGCCACCAACGGTCCGGCCCGCCCCACGCGCCCTTTGCTGTCTCCTGTCACCGTCCCCCTGCGTCTCTGTCCACACGCGCGTGCAGGTGTGTGTGTGTGTGCTCGCACCACTGTCTGGCCCATCCTTCCTTTTGTCTACATGCCCGCGTCTGTCTCGTCCTCCGTGCCCCGTGTGTCTCTGTCTGCGCCCTCGGCTCCTTCTGTTCCTCTGAGGCTTAATTCCCCCTAATCTCCCCCTCACCCTGTGTCCCTGGCTCTCCTGCCAGTGCCCTGCCCCTGCCCCTGGGCGGCTCTCCTCTTTGGCCCGTTGGTTTGGGGGCTGGTGTAGTTTTTACCCACTGGGCCCGGCTCCTCCTCTGCAGCCCCTCACCCTGAGGTGAGGCACCTTAAATTATTTGGTCTGGGGCGGTCAGATGTTCTGGACACTCGAAGGCAATAAAACCGGACCCTGTGGCTGTGTGTGTTTGGTGGGGGCCAGGCGGCCTCGAGTGGGCAGGCGGGGCCCCGGGAAGGCCCCTGAACAGGACGGGGCCGGCAGCCCCTCTGGCCGGCTGTGCTGGGGCGCCCCCTGGCGTCCACGCCGGGTCCTTGCGCTCCCTGGCTTAGGGGCAGGGGCCATCCAGATAGACCAGAGCAAGGGCTGTGGCCTGAGCGGGCTCTGCCCAGTTGCCATGGTGCTGTTTCAAGGCCGGGTCACCGGCATTGCTCCTGTGCAGGACAGGGTGGGTCATTTGGTAATTCCTCAGGGCTTGTGTCCAGTGGGATGGCTGCGCTGCCCCCACCAGGTGTCCTTAGAGGCCCAGAGCAGGGAGCGGGTGATGGTGGCCGACTGGGCCTGCCGTGATAGGTCAGAGTGTGTGTGGGAGGGGCAGGGTCTGCCTGGGGGCATGGGTTGCCCTGCTCCCAGCCTCCCCATGTGCAGCTCTCAGCTCTCGCAGGGCTGGGGGCCGGCCCCTTCCTGGGTCGGGTGGGCTGCACCTTCCCCAGGTGGGAGGGTGGCCCACCCACCAGGTCACAGGCCCTGTCTCCCCGCCCCTGGTCTGCCTTGGCCGGCCTGGCGGTGAACTGTTGCTGCTGGTACGGTTAATGGGGCGCCTCCCGTGAGCCCGGGTCTAGAGCCCCCCGCCCTGCTGGCCAGGACTGGGCTCCCACCACTTCAGACTTCTCCTGTCTCAGTTCCCCTGGGGGCTTGCCCGGTCACCATTGGCTCCAGGAACCTGTTGGGTCCAGGCCCACCCAGCTCTAAGCTTTTACTAAACCAGACTTCCCAGAGGGAGGGTGAACTGTGGCCGGGTGGAGGGATGTGCGGGAGGCCTGCCTGCCCACTGCCCGGAGGTGGCCAGGGGGCAAGTGCTGGGTGAAACCAGGGAAGTCCCCCCGTTTCAGGAGAGATGGCACTCCTACCCACCAGCTGGACCGAGGGGACCCTCCCCCTCAGGCCTCTTGGTCCTGAAGGAGTGCACCCCTCCCCCCCAGGCAGGGGGTTGCAGCGGAGGAGAGATGGGGGGGCACCCGCGGAGGTCCGTGGACAAGATGGAGAGTCGTGAAAAGGCAAACCCACCCAGAGCTCCTCCTCAGGTGCCCTGTTCAGAGATGCACAGACGGGGAGACGGGGCTTCCAGGTGGAGAGGGGCCGCCAGCTCTACCAAGAGTTATTTCCTCCTTTCCCCAAACGCACCCAAGAACACAAGTGAATCTGGGGCGTGTCCATGAAGTTGCTGTATTTTTTCAACCCACCATCCAGGTTTTGGGGTCTCCTGGGTGCCAGCCGTGTGCAGCCCCATCCCTGCCCCGAGGGGCTCACAGTCTAAGGTGGGTGGTGAGCCGGCTAGCGGGGTGCCCGGCCTCAGGAGGGGCTGACGAGGGGCAGGGGGCCTTGTTTGGCAGGCCCTCGAGGGATGGGGCTTGTGGAGGTGTCAAGGCTGGGGATGTGGCCAAGGCGCTCCAGGTGGAAGCTCTGTCTGGGCGGAGTGGGGAGGGTCAGGAAGGGCACGGGGGGTGGTGGTGGGGGAAAGCAGGGGGCAGGCTGGGCTGGGCTGGACCTCCTGTTGGAGGGCGGCCGGCTGGGGTCCTGAGAGAGACACCCTGGGGGGAGGCCCTAGGGAGGACTCCGGCGAGGGAGGGTCTCACAGGCAGGGAAAGGGCCCACCTGCCCATTGCACAAGTGGAAAGACCAAGACTGGGAGGGGAAGGACCTCCTGAAGGTCAGGTGGGTCTCCAGGGGCTCCCTGGGAGTCGGGGGACCCTTTCTAGACTCGGCCCTCCAAGGGGTCTTGGAGGAAGGTCTTACTACCCATTTTACAGATGGGACAGCTGAGACTCAGAGAGCTGAGACCCTCGCCTAAGGCCACACAGCTCATCCAGGATGGGCCAGGCCCACCAGGAAGGTCTGCCTCTGGGCCAGGCTGGTTCCGCTGCCAACCCCGGGTGCCAGCCCTGACTGGATTCAGGAGGCTAGAGATGGGGGTGGAGAGAGACCTTGAGTCGCAGGAGCTGAGGGAGACCAGCCACGGGGCCTCTTGCCCACCGTCAGCACTGCCCGTGACTACGGAGCTCTAAACCAGAGACAAGCTGAATGCCGTTGGAGTGCCTCGGTGAATGGCTGCACTCAGCAGTGAGCCCCGAGGGCCAAGGCTGCCCTGGGAGTGCCCTCCCAGCGCCCAGGACACTGGCAGGCCATGGCTTGGGCTCTTGCCAAGGGGAGCCCACCTGATCTCCATGAGGGGAGGGGTTGTCATTTGCAGGGCGCTGCACAGACTTCCCAGTTTGTCTCTGGGGGACACGGTCTCCCCGGCCTCACCCAGGCCTGCCAGTGTCCCCTGGGGCTTGCCTGGTTCCCCGGGGGACCCACGGAATGGTGGGCAGGCAGCGTACAGGTGTGACACATCTTTGTTGAATCTAGATCTTTCTTTCAAATGGAAACATGTCATGCAGCCGAGCGCTGTGTGGACAGAGCAGGGCTGCCTGACGCGGTGGGCCCGGGGCTGGGGGTGCGTGAGCAGGAAGGTGAGGGAGGACGGCTGGACGCCAGCGTGCTCCGGCTGCCACCTGCTGAAGGAAGGAGGACTGCCTGGTGGCAGGTTCTTGGATGCTGGGCTCTGGGTCATTCTTAAGATCCTCAAAAGCTCCAGGAGAGGAGGGAGAAGTCAGAGGTGCCCCCTGCGGTCCGTCTGCCCACAGCCCCGCCCTGACAGGGCAGCGCCCTCGTTCCCACCTGGGGTGCGGGGGGCAGGTTGGCACCCAGACCCCACCTCCTGGGCCTTCCGGGCCTGGGTGCTCCCCTTCCCCACCCCCTCTCTGCCCCGCGTGACCATCTGGGACACGGCCTGGGGGTGGTGGCAGATGGTATAACCTGTGTGACAGCCAGGAGCACGCTGGCCGGTGGAAGGGGCTCGGACCCGCTCCTGACCCTCTGAGGCCTCGCCCCCTCGCCGCCTTTCCTCTTGCCAGTGGCCCTCGAGCTCCAGCTGCAGTGGCGAGGCAGGCGCCGGGCGGGCGGGTGAGCTCAGGGCGCTCAGGCGGGGCAGGCCCGGGGGTCCGCGAGCCCGGCCCCGCTCACCCACGAAGAGCGCTGCCCAGGTCTCGATGTGCCGACGGCGGCTGTGCAGGCAGCCGAGGGCCTGTGCCAAGGGGGTGCTGAGCCCCTCCTGGCTGCGGCTCATCTGGGGAGCACGCCTGCCACTCGCTGGGGCCAGAGGGCTGGGCCCGCAGAGCATGGACCGGAGCCCCAGCCCCGGGGAGCCCGGCTCCTGGCCCCCCTCCCCTCCCATCCCCCGCGGCGGCCCTGAACCAGGCAGCTCCAGAGGAAGTGGCTGGCGCCGAGGCTCGCCCCCCAGGCCAGCATGCAGGAGAGGGCGTGCCGCAGCCGCACCGAGGTGGAAGGCGAGCTTGGCCTGCTGGGGGGACCGCAGGGGAGGGCCCGGGCTGGGGTAGGGTCTGAGGAAGCCGCAGCGTGGGCGCGGCCCCTCCTGGGCTCCTTCCCGCTGCCTGTGAGGCTGCGCTCAGCCCGCCCACCTCCCTGGCCGTGGCACCAGGCCCCGCTCAGCCCCTATTGGCTGGGACACTGGCCGCTATTGTCCATCTCCCTGGCCTCTGGGAGCTCCAGGAAGGCCAAGCTGCGTCTTAGTGGCCTGGCGTGGGGCACGGGCTGGCACACAGTAGGGCTCAGCCCATATCTCAGCAAGTTCAACGAACAACCTGAGCCCCGACTGCAGGCCAGGCGCTGGGGACACAGCAGTGAGCAGGGCAGACAGCGTCCTGACCACGGACGGCACGGCCACGTGTTCGCACGTGTGTGTGAGTGCACGTGTGTGCACGTGGGGAGGGGCAGGGAAACCAAGGAGGGGGCCAAACCTGTTGCCCCAGGGAGCACCCCCTGCCATCTACAGACCCCCAGTCCCCTGCCCCCTGCTACCCGTGGGTCCCCAGCCCCGCCAAGGCGAAGGCCCATCGGGAGGCACTGACTGTGACGACGGCCCGGCAGCTGTCCTTCAGGTGCAGGAGCAGGGCCACCATGCTCTGGTGCACCTGGGTTCTCAGGCCACTTAGCTTTCTGCCTGTCATTGACGCCACCAGCTCCCCGAACAGTGCCATGGCCGCTGCCTGGACTCCATCCCACTCCTGCAAGGCAGAGGCTCAGGGCCAGAGCCAGACCTGCCTGGGGCTCCTGACCCTCCGCTCCGTGGTGGGGACGGGGCTCAGTCCCCTCAGCGGGACCCTTTCACCTGGGCTCAGGGCTCTCAGGGACAGGGCTCCTGGGGAGGGTCACAGGCCATCCTCAGGGACCTGAAATCGTTTCTCTCTCATGCTCACAATCACATCCTGACAAGCCGAGTGTCCTGAATGCAGCTGGGGGGGCGGGGCTTATCCCTCTAATTTCCCAGTGAAGGAAAATCTGCCATTGCAAACGTGCTGACAGGTCAGGAAGGTGAAGACAGGTGGGGTTGGAGAGACTGGATGTCGGTGCTAGTTCAGCCCCATGGAGAGGGGCGAGCGCCACCTGGTGGCCTCCCGGCTGGTCCACCTGCGCCAGTGCACACCCAGGGAGCTGTCCTGGACCTCCACCTCCCTGCCCCAGCTGGACCGTGGCCTGGGGTCCTCCCCGCCTTCGAGGAAGGGAGCGGGGGAGGCACAGGAAGGGCATGAGATGGGGGCACTCGCCCCTCCCTGGGCACACTCACGTCGTTGGAGAAGGAGTGGGCGTTGATGGCGATGCCAAGGCTCTGGGCCTTTGTGCTGTGTGCGCCCAGGCGGTGCAGCACGTCCGTCACGGTGCCCATGACGCGCACCACCACCGGCTCGCTGCTGTGGAAGAAGCCCGTCGAGGAAGGGCGGCAGCAGTCCACGGAGCAGGCGTCCCTCGGGGAGGTGGGGACAGTGGGCAGTGGGACCCCTGCCTCTGCACACACCCCGCACCCCAGCCCTGCCGGGTAGACCCAGAGCCAACACAGACTCTGCCCTTCCCAGACCCCCATCCAGGCCTGGGCACCTGCAGTTCCCTGCACCCTGCTGGATCCCGCCCTGGCTCTGCCCATGAGAGAAATGAGCTCCGAGCCCTGGTCTGTCCTCTGGGAGCTGTGGACAGACTGCGGACAGGCTTCTCCTCTCTGAGCCACTGGGGGTCCTCCTGGGGTTAGGGGAGCATTAGCCCCGGGCTAGTTGGCTCCCAGGTCCTTCCTGTCCGGCCCCGTGCTGGCCAGAGGGCCCCCACCAAGTCCTGGAGACCACCCTTCCCTTCCTCCGTCCCACCCTGCCTTTACCCCCATTCCTGGCCTCCCCATGGGTCAGAGAGGGCCTGGGGGGCTGGAGGAGACAAATTTGGTCAGGTGGGCACACACTGAGGTCGCTGGCGACTCACATCCTGGGGAGCTGGGTGCACCAGTGGTGGCTTCTATGTTGCAATGACTATTTCCCATGTTTACGTTACTTCAAAAGAAAAAGCTAAGTTCATTTTCAGCCAATTCTTTCTGCTCCTCTTGTGTGCAGGGTGCTCATGAATTGTCTGGATGGACATGTCAGAAAGGGACATGTCAGCAAATGGAGGTTTCCCGCCATCAAGCCCCTTATCGATGACTTGTGCAAACTAGGCTGATTTTACCACCTTTAAGCAAGTTTTAGGCAACTTCATTGGCTTCCTCAGCTGTGTTTAGTTTTACAGTATTAAATTCATTTCAGTGACAAACACTTTCTGAGCACCAACTGGGTGCAGCCAGGGTGCTGGGACCCAGGTCTGGCAGTGGACTGGACGGGCAGAATGGATTCTAACGGGAAGGACCCAAAGTTAAACACACAACATGGCGTGTGTCAGTCAATGACGAGTGGTATGATACAGTAGGGCAGGGGTGGGACCGACTGGGGTGGAGGTACCAGCAGAGGTGGTGGTTATGAAGATTTTTAAAAAATTAATTAATTATGTATTTGTTTGTTTGTTTATTTATTTTTTGGCTGTGCTGCACAGCATGTGGGATCTTAGATCCCCGACCAGAGATCGTATTGAAAAGCGGATTCTTAACCAATGGACCACCAGGGAAGTCCCTAAAGTTTTAATTTTAAGTAGGATCAGAGCATTTGTTACTGAGAAGGTGACAGCTGAGCAAATTCTTACAAAGAGGTGCTGGAAGAGCTTTCCAGCAGAAGGAGCAGCAAGTGCAAAGGCCCTGAGGCAGGAGCACGCCTGGGTGTTTGTGGGGTTTGTTGATTGGCTGAACGACCTTACTGTTTGGGGCTGGAGCAACTGGACGGGTGGAGCCCCCATCACCTGAGATGGGGGCTGCAGGAGGAGCCTGTTTAGGGTGAGGGGTCCGTTGTGCACAGGTTGAGTTTGAGATGCTGCTAGAATCCAAGCAGTTTGAGGGTCGAGGCTGGAGTTCAGGTCCGCGTTTGGGATACAGGTTTGGGAGCAATTGGCCTATAGGCGGTACATAAAGATTGGAGGATACCACCAAGGGAGCAAGTGTAGACCAAGGAGAATGGCGGGAAGGGGTCCAAGAACAGGAGGAAGAACCGGTGAAGATGACAAGACACCACCTTCGACGTGGGAGGAAAACCGAGTGAGGGAGGGGTCCTGGGGCCAAGCGGACGGAAGGTCACCCAGTCACGTGTGCTGACGGGTCCACTGTGGGGAGGTCACAGGTGACCTGAACGGGAATGGTTTCAGGTCGGCTGTGGGTGGGAGGCATGCTAACTGGAGCGTGTCTGCCTTCCTTCGATGGCCACATTTGCAGCGTTTTCAGTTGAATTATTTCATTAATATGTAGGCATGACATTGGTAGCATCTTCTAAAAGCAAAATAGAATTTCTAACAAGGACGAACATGGCTGGGCGCCGGTCCTGAAAGCAGCACGCAGATTTTCCATGTGATTGTCCCGTGACTGTCGAGTAGTTTTTAACCTAGTTGTCTGGATCCCCTCCCCCGAGGGGAGCAGTGGGATTGGTGGAGGGGGCCCTCCTTCCGCCTGCCGAGCTGGCCCCTTGTTCCCTGGTAAGAGGACCCCTTTGTGGCAGGGGTGGACTTCCCTGGCCTCCTCGCGTGACCACTGGAGCAGGAGTGAGTGATCAACTTGCAGGTCGCGCCTCAAGGGGCAGGGTGTGCCTGCTGGCTGGAGTGGGCATGGTGGTGGCCGCCCAGGCCCTGCAGAGGAGGGCAGCACCCAGAATGGAGCACAGCAAACGAGGAGCCTGCTCCCCTGGGGAGTGCAGAGCAGGACAGCCACAGCGGCGGGAGAGAAATGCACTTCTACCGTGTGTAAGCGGCCGGTTTGTGTCTTTTGCGTGTAGCTACTCTCCGGTCTCCCAGTGCACACACCGGCACCCAGTTAGTGCGATTTGTGTTTGACGGTAGACAGAAGTGGACAGTCCTGCGGGGCCATTTGTTCTCATGGGCCCCAGCGGAGGGGGCCTCTCTGGCGTCTAGGGCAGCGACTGCAGCCCCTCCCTCAGCCCTGGGGCCCACTCCATCCCTGCCCCGTTCAACGTGTCCCCACAGAAGCAGGTCTCCTTGGCCGAGGGGCTCAGGGTGTGTTGTCTCCCCCAGCCCTGCTGTGGCTGCACGCCCCCTCTGGAACCATCCGCCCTCCCTAGCCCTGGCCGTCCTGGTCTGGTAGCCCCCTCTGCTCTGTCTTCTCTGTTCCTGCAGGTCCACACTCAGTGCGGGGTAGAGAGGAAGCACATGGACACTTCCTACTGATTGCCTGTCTGGGAGAACACCTGGGGACAGGTGTCTGGATGGCTGACCACTGACAGAATGAATGAATGAGTGACAAAGCAAATGTGAATAACTGATTGAGTGAAATGAATGAATGAAAGAAATAATAAAAGAATGACTCATAAACGAAGGACCCAAGGAACAAGTGGATGGGTGGATGGATGAGTGGGTGGATGGATGGATGGACGGATGGATGGAGGGATGAATGGCTGACTTTATGAATGGATGAGTGGGTAGGTAGGTGGATGAGCTGGGGGGCTGTAGATGGAACGGCCAGACCCCCTAAGGCAGCATTGCGGGCCTTCCCTTCTGCCTCTTTGGCGATGTTCCAGCTGTTCATTCATTATGGGATGTGGGTTGCACGGTGATGGGGGCAATCGGGAGGGAGTGAGGCTGAGTCTGCAATGACCGGGGGTACCCGCCCATACGATTCTCAGGGGAGGCTCCTGTCTGTGGGCCAGCCTTGGGGTGCCACCTGGGGGGCTCCTCCTAGGTGCTTGGAGGTCTGCAGGAGCGTCCGCCTATTCCCGGGTGTGGTGGAGGCAGCGTCCTTCGGGAGTAGACGCTGCACCCCTCCCGCGGCCCCGCCAAGAGGCCGTCACCAGCGCCATTCTGCAGGTGAGGAAACCGAGCCCCAGAAAGGTGATTTTGTGTCCCTAGAGCCGGGATTCCATCCCAGGGGACCTTGTCTGCACCCCGCACACCTGGCCGCTCTGGGGGTTGCTCCAGCCACGGCTCCCCTCACCCTCTTACCTTCTCTGGGTGGAAGAGGATGTTTCCCAGGACCTACAGGCTCCGCACGCAGACCTCAGGGCTGGGGTCCCTGAGGCTTTGGGCCAGCATGGTCAGGGCGGCCTGTTTGGGGAGCACCTCCAGCAGGGCAGGGCTGTAGAGGAACTGGGTGGCCCCCGGGGCAGGCGGGTCAGTCCTGGCATCCTCTCCTGGGGGCCTTCGTCTGTGTCTGGGAGCAGGGCTGTGGGACCAGGGCCTGGCAGGCGGCTTGGAGAGGGGCGCTGACCTGCTCCTTCCGGGTATCTCGGTTAATGGGTATTTGAAACCCACCTCCAAGCTGGTTCGATTCTTCAATGTATAGCTGGGGAGACTGAGGCCCAGAGGGGGAAAGGTCCTTGTCTGAGGTCACACAGTGAGGCTGGGAGCAGCGTACATCAGCAGCCTGGCTCGTGGGGCCCTTGGGGACAAAGCCCCGTGGAGGGAGGCCTAGACCTTCCTCGAGCGGGGTGGGGTGGGAGAAGCACAGGCTTTGATTGGGGTCTCCTTCTACTCTTTCACTGCCCTTTTGGCTTCACGGTCCCAGGGGTGGGACCTCGAGTCGTCAAGGAGCAGGGGGCGTGGAAAGACAGTCCCCCCAGGCTGCAGGCTGAGGGGGCGCTGGGAGGTGCGGACCCAGCCAGAAGCCCCCGACCGCGGGCCCCAAGGAGCTGGAAGCGGGAAGGAGGGGTGTGAGGGGTTTGTCGGGTAGGTGAGGTCCTGGTGTGGTTCTGGCGGCGGCTGAGGCAGCCGGACGAGGGGCTCAGGCTGTCTCTGAGGGGCTCCCCTCGCCGCACGCAGGTCCCCGTGAGGAGGACGATGGCTGCCTTCCTCCCCCGCTGCTCCTGGCTCTGCAGGCTGGGTAGCAGCTGGGTGATCAGCGCCGCGACTTGCTTGCAGCGGCTCTGCACCATGGCCCTGGGCACAGGCGAAGGGCAGGGGCAGGGCTTGGGCTTGCGGACACAGCCCCGTGTCCCCCTCCCCACACACCCCAACCCAGGGGCCAGGCGGCCAGAGGTGTTGCTGAGCGTGGGTGGGCACATCTCTCTTCGACCGTTTCCTGCTCCCTTTGCACCCACTGGCCGCCCACTGGCTGCCAGGCCCGGGCTGAGCATGGGATGGACAGGGGAGCAGATTTGGCCCTTGTCCCCTAGGAGGCCTCAGGCCGCGGAAGGGGCCGGGGGAAGACGCCTGCATCCTAGGCTTCCAGCGTGTGCGCGTGAGACGGGGGCGGGGCGCCCGTGCTTTCCGTGCCCTGCGTGCGCACGCGTGAGTCCGTGGGGCTGTGCTCGCAGGCAGGCCCTGGAGGTACGGAAGTCCACAGCCTAGCCTTCTGGGCAGGGGTGACCCGGGCAGTCCCCTTCCCCTGGCCCCACCCCGCCCCTACCTGGCGAGGAGGCCCATGCCCTGCGGGTCGGTGTGGGTGGTGGCGAAGAGTCCCAGGCTCCCTGCAGCTCCAGGTGGGCGAAGTCCTGCCAGTGCCCGGTGGCGGGCAGCAGGCTCTTCAGCGCCTCCAGCGACGTGCTGCGGCAGCGCAGAGGGGTCCCCAGCCAGCCTCGCCCTTGGGGAGGGTGCCCAGCCGTCGCAGGTGGAAAGGTGCCTTGTGGTTCCCGTCTGCACTCAGGGCCCGGCAGCACTGGGGCCTCCCGGGGGCAGCTCGTTCCCGGCCTCCTTCAACAGAGATGTTGGGGCGTGGGATGGTGTGCGCCCGGTGGTGGAGCCGGAGACTGGAGGGGGCCTCCTGGGAGGGGCGGGTCCAGTGGGAAGCTCGAGACAGGTTTGGCACATGGTCAGTGTGAGGTGCCCACAGCTGGCTTTCCAGGGCTGGGGCTGAGGGGACAGGGCTGCAGAGAGAGAGCTAGGGGACACCGGGGACAGGCGGTTTCCCCAGTTGCAGGGTGGAGGGGGCCCCAGCAGAGCCTCGATGGACACTGCCGTTTAAAAGTGGAGCTGAGAATGCAGAGGGGTCCCGGCACGGGAGGAGGACAGTGGGGGTGTGTGTCACGGGGGCCCGGAGGAGGGTCCACCTGCAGCTCCCGAGGATGCGGGGAAACCAGGTCCACCGGCCGCATGGTTGCGTGGACTCAAGAAAGAGCTGGACCCGGAGCACGGCGGGACGGGGTGCGGGTCAGGGACCGTGCTGCCCGTGCCCCGTCCGGGTCACACAGCCTGGCCAGGGGCCGCAGAAGCAAAGTGCGGCTAGGCCGCGGGCTCCAGACCTGCACAGTGGTGTCGAGCCATGGGCTCTGGGCTGCCCCGGGCCCTGCAGGCAGTGCACGGGTGGAGGGCCCGGGAATAGCTCGGTGGCCCGTCTCCCTGCCTAGCCACCCCGCGCCTGGTGGTGTCACCTGGACGTGTAAGTGCCCCCAGAGCGAGGCTGTCAGCTTGGACCAGGCACAGCTCTGATCAGATTTGCAAATCCAGATGTGAAGGGATGAAATGCCCTCTGTGAAAGTCCCCAGTGGGGCCGACTCAAATGTCAGCTGGCCTGTCATCTTGCCCCCAAGCCGTGCCGCTGAAAAGAGGCTGCGTTTTCCGGGTCATTGGTCTCATCCAGAGTGATGCCGGTTGCAGGAGAAGGCGACTCCGGGCACACTGGCATTTCGTCTGCTCTGTGATGACTCTCGGAAGCTTCTGGTCCTGGGGCACGTTGGGCATCTCCTCTCACGGTCGCTGTGTCCCTGCACCACAGCAGGGCTTCTGGAAAGATGGCGTTTGGCTGATTTGGGCATTCTTGGGACTCCCTTGCTGACTCTCGGGGTGAATAGCATCACTTGTGGGGCCCTAAAGCCTAAGGCCATCCCCAGCCCAGGACCCCGGGCAATGCACAGGGACTCTTGTTGCCTGAAATCCATGCAGCTCCTTGACCGACAGAAGACGGAGGCCCTCGGGTCCGAGCCCGGCCATGCAGGACGCCCCTCCCTTCCTCCTGGGGTGAAGCCGTGCTCTCCTTCAGCCTCACCCCAGGGATGCCTGGCGCAGAGCGACTCTGAAGGTGAGGGAGGGCTGCAGGGCTGCGGGGGTGCAGGCAGCCTGCGGGGTTCACACAGGGCTAGGGCTTCCTGTGCACCAGTGCCACGGGACACGGACCGCTGTTGTCCCGGGGGGATGAGGAAATGGAGCGTGGCCCTTTCCTTCCCTCCTGGTGTCCCCCCATCTGACGTGAGCTGCAGGAGGCGGCTCTGTCTTCTCATCTTTGTACGTCGCCCCAGTGCCGACTGGATACTGTCATTTCCGTGGCACAGAGCCCCCTGTGGCTCCCCACTGCTCTGGGTCACCTCCTTCCTGTCCCTTCCTCTTTGGGGTACCCCTGCCTGGAAGGCTCTCTGCCCTCCTTTCCCCACCCAGCGAGCTCTAACCATCATTCAGGTCTGTCCTCAGAGGCCGGGTCCTCAGGGAACCACATGCAGGGGGCGCCCCCCAAGGTCATCCTTTGCAGAGGCTGTGCCTCTCCTTCAGGGCACTCTCCAGGGTGTGTCATGCATCACCGGGCTGTCACTTGACCCCACCTGCATTTCCATGGGGCTGAGCTCCTGAGTGCAGGGATGGCTCTCTGGTGACTGAGCACGGTCTGTGACATGGCAAACGCCATCCGTATTCATTAAATAACGAGAGCAGGACACACAGGACGCTTAGCAAGTGTGGGCCAAATAATACATAAGCCGTTAGTCCTTTCTCTCCTCTTTTCGACCAAGAGCTGTGGGGAGCACAGAGTGGGAGGGGGACCGAGGCTGAGGCCAGGGTCCAGGGAAGGAGGCAGGTCCAAGCGGGGCCGTGGGGACTCCAGACCGGGGCAGAGCACCAACCTTCCCGTCTGTCCCTTCCTGCTCAGGAATCCCTGCTCAACCCCTGGGAAGTCACAACCCCCATGGGTCTGAGGAATCAGGAGGTCCTTGGGCCTGAGACCACGGCACCCCAACTGGGCAACAGAAGACGTTTGGGCTGGGGTCATGATCTAACCCTTAACTGAGGCCCCAAGTGTTGGTCACTTGCATAGGGTCACCCTAGCATAGAGACTACCCCGTCCTCTGCGGCGCCTGACCCGCACAACACCTGTGGAGGGACCAACCCCATCGCACAGAAGAAGAAACCATGAGATGGAGAGACCAGCTCAGAGTGCTCACAGTGGGGTTAGGAGGAGATCTTAGATCTCAGATCCAGGCCCCAAACAGCATATCATTATTAACTGCTTATTTGTTCCTTGTCGACTGCCAAAACCCAGGACTACGAACAGTGTTTTAAATAAAAGAGCTTTAAATTAAACTTAAAGCTTTAAGTCGAAAAGAGGACTAATCAGGAAGTGAGAAACAAAAGGAAGCACCCCCGTGCCACAGTGAGAGATGACTGAACATTAATTTTATGTGAGCTTCCTGGCAGCCAGGGCAAGAAGGAAAATATGTTGGATTATACCTATAAGTGGATGAAGAGAGTGTCTTTGAAATGAAGAGAAATGAGATGTCCCATTAGAGTTAAAGAGATTCAGCCCATAATGGATGAAACGAGAGGAATGGGAAGTCCTTTGTGGGGCAGGGTGGACATTGCCTGGAGGAGGACCTTGCTGAGAACCAACCAAAGCAGGAAACGTCTCTAAAAGAAGGGGTTTTGTTCACCAGAGATGCAAAGGAAAGGGAGAGTCCCAAGGCAGGGCCGTCCACGCTTGCTCCTTGCCTGGCAGGAAGCCCTGCCAGACCCTCACCTGTTGCTTCCAGGGGCCGGCACAGCTTAGCAGGACGTCAGGAACCTCAGAGGCCCAGGACTGGTCTGACTCTGCCTTGAGACTTGCGTGGCTGCCGCAGGTGTCCCGTGCCACCCTCATGCTGCCGGGGGCACCCACAAGACAGTGGGCCTCTCGGTAGTGAGTGCCCAGATCGCTCTTCGGCCCCCGTCCCCCTTGTCGGTACCACCACATCCACCTAGTGTCAGACCTGGGGCCACAGTGACGCGCCTGGGCGGTGCTGCCCTCTGAGGCCCGGGAGCGGCTGCTGACCTCGTCGCTGTCCTTGATGGCTGGCAGACATCACTGTGATTGGCCTGCTGTGCTCTCGGGCCCCTTGGGGTGGTATCCGCATTGCCGTTGTCCTCTGGGCAAGGGGCCCAGTCCCATCCCAGCTCCAGGGAAGGTGGGGGAGACAGACCTGGTCAGTCAGAGCCCCACATGCCCCTGGCCAAGGCAGTTGTTTCAGGGGTGGGCCTGTGAACTAAGCTGGGCCAATTAGAGCCAATAGACATGCCCAGGATGGGAGTCTGTCCTGTGGTTGCTGGGGCCTCGCCCTTCTCTTCCGGGAGGACCCGCCCAGAGAAAAGCCAGGACCTGCGAGGTGGGAGGGGGGAGGGCTGAGGCTGCTGGAGCATCTTGACACAGCTGAGCCTGAGCAGAAGGCCCCCTGGTGCTCCCCGCGAGGTGACAGCCATCCTGTTCTCTGGGGGAGCCCTGTGTGAGACAGACATATGTCCCTGCTCCCCGGAGCCCCCATTATATGGGGCACAGATGACAGCTGTAGCTGGGATGGGCTGGGGGAGAACACAGCAGGGAGGGAGGAGGGCTGCTGTTTTAGAGAAGATGGTTGAGAGACCACAGGAGGTGAGGCTACTGGGGGAAGAGCACCCCAGGAAGAGGGCGCAGCAGCTGCAAAGGTCCTGAGGCAGGAGTGTGCTGGGTTTGAGAAACGGCAGGAAGATGCTGAGGCTGGAGCAGAGGGTGTGCATGGATGGTAGGGGCTTGTGGCAGGAACTGAGGTCCTGGAGGAGACAGGCACCCAGATGAGGAAGGACCAGTGGGCCACTGGAAGGGTTGGGCCCTTCTCAAAGTTAAAGGGGGAGGAAGCAGGGAGGGTTCTGAGCACAGGCAAGGTCTGACCTGACTTAGGGGTGGAGGGCAGTGGGGGGGTGGTAAGGGGGAGAAGGGGAGGCTGGACCTCATGGGGCGGGGGAGGGAAGCTGATGGACCAGGCAGTTCATCATAGCTTTCTCCTAACCCTCCTGTTTCTGGAAGGAGAACTCTTTAACAGCTTATTAGGGAAGATGCATGCATTTTGCATGGTTGATTTGAATAAAAAAGGAACTTGGTGCACATTCGAATTCAGAAGCAATATGAGAGAAGTGACAGTTTTTTTCAGTGAGTGTCTTGGGGAGAGCTGTTAAAGCTGACAGCTTGTGTGAAGCTCATCATAATACCAACAAATGAAAAGAGGTCGCCCCGCGGCGTTTAAAGGCTCGCTTAATGGATTTCTCCAAATACGCCGCAGTGCAGAGGAAGGCAAGCCCGCCGGCCCGGGCCGTGACCCTCCCACAGGGGGCCAGTCCACACCGGTCAGGAGTGGGGTGGGGGGAGGCTGGCAACCGTCCAGCACATCCGAGCGAAAACGTGCTGGGGTCCGGCGCCCTGTGCAAGGGAACCCGGAGGGCGTCTGCCTGCGGGGCCGAGTGGTGGCTGGGCAGGCATCCCTGCCGTCCTATGGGCTCTAGCTCAGCAACGCACAGACATTCTGTGTGGCTCAGAGGAAGCCTCCTCTCCTGCCTCTGGC